CTGGGACCCTTCAGTCTGTGGGCTGATGCCCTAACCACTGAGCCAAACCAGCTAGGGTGAGTTTCAGTTTTATATACCACATATGAGTAAAATATTATGGTTCTTAGCTTTCCCCCCTGACTTATTTGAGCATAATATTCTCAAGTTCCATCCATGTTGTCGCAAATGGCAGTCTTTTCTTATGGCTGAGTGGCATTCCATTGTGTACATGTTCCACATCTTTATCCAGTCCTCTGTTGAAAGACACCGTGGTTGTCTCCATGTGTTGGCCACCACGAATAATGCTGCAGTGAGCATAGGGGTGCATATATCTTTGCCAGTACATGTTTTTGAGTTTTTGGGGTATATACCCAGGAGAGGGATTGCTGGGTCTTATGGTAGTTATGTTCTGAAGTTTTTGAGGAATTGCCAAGCTGTTTTCCATAGTGGCTGTACCAGTCTACATTCCCACCAGCAGTGAATGAGGGTTGCCTTTTCTCCACAACCTCTCTAACACCAAGGGAAGGGGGTGGAGGGATAGGGGGTGAAGGGGGCCTCATATTTAGTGACAGAAGATGATTTGGCTTTGGGTGGTGGGCATAGAGTGCAATATACAGATCTTGTGACATAGAAGTCCACACCTGAAACCTATATAATTCTATTAACCAATGTCACCCCAATAAATTTAATAATAAAAAAAGGCTTCAGAGTCTGTGTGAATGGCCCTTCAGTAGTGCCCAAGTTTATTATTAGAGAGGAAGCGCCCTCTGCTGGTTTGGTTCATTTCCAATCAAATCCAATGTTGCCTGAATCTTCTTCCTTTTCTGTTTTTTCATTTTCTCTTGCTCGTTGCCCCTGTAGCTTATACGTGCTCTCACTTTGGTTGCATTAGATTGCTCAACACAGGTTTCACTCAGCATGCAATATTATGTTAGAAGGTCCTCTCTGGTTATCAAAAACTCTTGGAACACTTACACGCCAACAAAGCAACCGACGCATGCCAGGTGTCTAGTACACACTGACCTTCCCACACTGAAAGGTCATTTTTATCTAGGATGTTTGGAGAAAGAAGAATTTTATCTTTGTTTCTCCCAGTTTGGCCACTGAGAGTTCTTTCTCAGTGTCATGTGCTCCTCCCTGACAGTACAACTGTGCTCTGAAGAGTGCTTTGCTATCGCTTGGTATTCTTTGGCACAGGGATGCTTTATCTATAGGATGCTGGCAGTCGGTGGTGATAGAGGGCAAATCTTTAACTGTACATACTCTATGACTCTCTCTTCCCAGTGGAGTAGCATCTAAGAAATTCAACTCTTCACAGAGGTTCCACATGAGGGCGCCCCAGTTGCTCAACTTTTCTGTTGTAGATCACACCTGCTCTCCCACTTTTATCTCTCCTTTCATCTTAGAAAGGGAATGTGTAACTCTCTTTGAATTATTTTAGAATACTCTTGGTGTAATTTATAAGGAACAACTGTCTTCAATTTGATTAAAACAAATTATCGAGGTTCTTAGCAGTCTGAAATATATAATTTTTCCATTGTATTTAAACTTCAAACGAGTGTGGTCAAGGGATTATGGGAATCACTCATAAATATTTGACCTATATTCAGGGGTGGGCAAAAGTAGGTTAAATTACCAGCCATCATTACCTAAAAGATAAATCATAGGTAAGGATACAAAATAATAACAATAATAAGACAAATAAGAAGTAATATAATAATTAATAAATAATAATGCAAGAATAAACTGTGTTTCATGTACTTACAACTGTAAACCTACTTTTGCCCCACCCCATATTATATTTACGCATACACACAAGCACACATACATACAGTAAAGGCAACTTAACATTGATTCAGGGGAGTGGTAAAATTTTAGACATTCCTAAATTTAAATTTAAGGATTAAAGAATGTGGAATTATAGATGTATAGAATGAGCGTAGGCCTATTGGCAGGGTTTGCGAATCAGGAAATCTATACCCTGGGTCATAGCAGCCCTTCTAATAGACTACATGATTTGGGCAAGTTGATCTCTTTGGATCTCACTTACTTTACGTACAATAGAAATTGTTTGGATGAGATTAAATACAATATCTAAATTTCTAATGATTATTTGATAATTTTATTCAGTTAATGAATGGTGATAGATTTGTTTGAATTGGTTATATTTAGGGTTAACTATCATATACTTGGTTATTTTTTAATGTTTATCATTAATAGTATAATAATTTTATTTCCTTTTACTAATAAACTAACATGACTAGTGTTCTATTGATCATATAACATGATCTAAAGTTCATATTGTCCTTAAAATAAAATATTAAAAACTAGATATAGAATATGTTCTGAGTCTAATCAGAAGAATGAGCCTATTTTTTGTTTTTTTTCATGTAACTTCTTCCCTCAATAGGGGCATGTGATCTTGAATACCCGTTGATGAATTTCACTTTAGTTTGAATTCCAAAAATTACAGTGAAAGGAAAATAGCTTGAGTGTTTGGGGAGGTGAGGATGGTGGAGCACCAAATTCTGATATAGGGAATTATCACTATTTTTAAAAATATTTTTAAATTTTATTTTTGTTTAAAATATTACAGATGTCCCTTTTTCTCCCCAATGACCCGGTCCACCCTGTCCCATCCCCCTCCCCAGTCCCTTTCCCCACCATTGTCTGTGTCCTTGGGTTGTGCATGTACGCATATAAATTCTTTGGTTACTCTCTCCCCCTCCACCCACCCACCCTCCTCCATTAGGGAATTATCACTCTTTTGATTAGATTAAATGTGCTTTGAGGCGATGATCTCTAAAGTACTTACTAGCTCTTATATTCTGGACATTTTCTGTGGATTTTATAGCAGTAAATTTTCTACTGAAGTTAGTATCTTTTATACATTTTTTTCTACTTTTTGTTGCTTCTCTTGCTCTTCATAATAAATTAATGTCTTTTTTCCTCCTAGACAGGAAGGGAAAAAAAATTTTTTTTAATTGATTTTTACAGAGAGGAAGGGAGAGTGAGAGAGAGAGAGAAACATCCATGTGAGAGCAGAACATCGATTGGCTACCTCCCACATGCCCCCTGCCAGGAATTGAGACCACAATCTAGGCATGTACCCCAATCAAGAGTCAAACCTACAACTTTTGGGAGCACAGGACGATGCCTAACCAACTGAGCCACACCAGCCAGGGCAAGGACTATACTTTTAATCATTTTTTTTTTTGACTAGAAAATTCAGAACCTCATTAGCCTCCACTGCCATTAGCCTCCATTGTCAGGGGTATTTTAATTAATATCTTTGACGGAGAGAGTTTGTGGTGCATGACTCATTTCCAGAGCTTGGGTTGTTTCAGGGTATAGTGCTTGGGATTGTGTTTGATGATTGCTGTGACGATCACTATAAACCAAACATCTAAAGTAAGCCCATCAGTATAAAGCATTTCTTTCTGTAAATGCTTTGGACAGTAATTACATTGAGGAAAAGATGGGATGTGATTGAGTTTATTGAGTTTTGCCTTCTTTGGATTTCCTATTATTGGTAGCTGATGCTTCACTCCCATCTAGGTGTTCAGGGGTAGAAAGAAATGTACATCTGACTTCATGACAGGGAGCTTTGTTTGTGTTTGTGAGGATGAAAGAGAAGTGAAACTATACTTTGATGAAAAGTTTATTGTTAATTTTTATGCAATACAGTTTTCTGGATCCTATATCCAGGAGGTCATGACAATAAATTCAAAAGTAGTAGTACAGAGCTTCAGTGGTGGCACAAAAGAAGTGATTCTTCTGAATCTTCTGTACCATGACATTCTTTGCTCAGGACATGGAATGTGTTACAATGTTATCAGAGAAATTTTGGCTCCTGAACCATGTCTCTTAGCTCCCTGGATAAGTTTGTCAATAAGTAATTAAAACAAAACCGGAAAATCTAAAATTTGAATTTCAGAAAATTTTTAAAAAAATGCCCATTTTATCCCAAAGTACCCAAATCACTTTTGTCATATAATATTAAATATAGCCCCAAATGCCATTTATTTCTTCCATTCACTGTTTTTCAGCCAAAGAGCTTAATGGTTAAGGAGCCTTACAAAAAAAAACCCAAACACCTTGCACCAAACAAAAGAGTACCACAGTTAAAATACTTATTCCCTGACTACCAAAAGAAGGGACCATGTTAAATATCTTAATTCCATGCATGTGTCTCATTTCTTCTTTGAGTTAGTTCTTAGGTTAGTTTTCTATTGTCTTCAAATTATTATTCAAAGTAATAGTATTTTTGTTCTTGGATATATTGATAGAGTGGGGTGTTGATATCTAAGTAATAGGAACCTGAATCTGTTCTCTCCCTTCCCGGGTAACCACTGGCCTCAGAGTCTCTTGCCTGCATGTCATCCATATGCTGATTGTTTCTGCTGATGCTCCCTGTCATACTTGATCCTGGCTCTTGCTTTTGCCTTCCCCCGCTCCATGCAGTCGTACTGCTTGATGAAGACCTATATATATACTCCTCAGCTCCTGTATGATCTTGGCTATGAAGAGGGTGACTGGAAATGGATCTTTTACTTATGTCAGTTTCCTGCCCATAGCTGTCACTTGAATGACCATGGCTATATACTTGCCTTTCACTGGTGTTGAATCCAGATTGATCCTGGGCATCTCCTGATTGTCCATGATTTGATCCCATTCTATTGAACTCGGACTGTCCATGCCTAAATCCTAATTGTTCATGAATCTGTTTCCCCCAATTTTCTGAATGTTCTTTACTATTGTTATGGGATCCCTGCCAACTAGTTGAACTAGATTCTGAATGACTGTGAGCTGACAGTTGATTGTTTCCAGTTCCTGTTGACCTAACAGGGCTAGATTGGCGACTGCTTGATCTGCTGCCCCCAGAAGGTCCATATCCAAACTGCCCATAGTCATATTCTGCCCTTCCATAGCTACCATGTTTCCATCTTTGACTTGATCCATGATGTTGTCTTCCACTAATTTCTGAATGAGAATGACTACTTCCAGATTGGTCATAGTGGCTACTTGACTGTTTCCTTGTGCTGTCCCTTGACTCCCTAGATGGAAAATGTGATTGTGTATGACTAGATTCCCTTCTTCCACTTTTGCCAGATCCTGACTGTGAGGATTGCCCATGGCCTGCCTGCCCATGTTTCTTGGTGTCTCCTGACTGTCCATGAGTAGTTCCCTGACTCCCTTGACTGGAGGATCCCCACTGTCCATGTTGAGATCCAGCCTGGCCATGACTGGACCCTGAGTGTCTCTGTGAGCCTCCCGAATGCCATTCACTGCCACTGGACTCACTGTGACTAGATCCCCTTCTTCCACTTTTGCCAGATCCTGACTGTGGGGATTGCCCATGGCCTGCCTGCCCATGTTTCTTGGTGTCTCCTGACTGTCCATGAGTAGTTCCCTGACTCCCTTGACTAGAGGATCCCCACTGTCCATGTTGAGATCCAGCCTGGCCATGACTGGACCCTGAGTGTCTCTGTGAGCCTCCCGAATGCCATTCACTGCCACTGGACTCACTGTGACTAGATCCCCTTCTTCCACTTTTGCCAGATCCTGACTGTGGGGATTGCCCATGGCCTGCCTGCCCATGTTTCTTGGTGTCTCCTGACTGTCCATGAGTAGTTCCCTGACTCCCTTGACTAGAGGATCCCCACTGTCCATGTTGAGATCCAGCCTGGCCATGACTGGACCCTGAGTGTCTCTGTGAGCCTCCCGAATGCCATTCACTGCCACTGGACTCACTGTGACTAGATCCCCTTCTTCCACTTTTGCCAGATCCTGACTGTGGGGATTGCCCATGGCCTGCCTGCCCATGTTTCTTGGTGTCTCCTGACTGTCCATGAGTAGTTCCCTGACTCCCTTGACTAGAGGATCCCCACTGTCCATGTTGAGATCCAGCCTGGCCATGACTGGACCCTGAGTGTCTCTGTGAGCCTCCCGAATGCCATTCACTGCCACTGGACTCACTGTGACTAGATCCCCTTCTTCCACTTTTGCCAGATCCTGACTGTGGGGATTGCCCATGGCCTGCCTGCCCATGTTTCTTGGTGTCTCCTGACTGTCCATGAGTAGTTCCCTGACTCCCTTGACTAGAGGATCCCCACTGTCCATGTTGAGATCCAGCCTGGCCATGACTGGACCCTGAGTGTCTCTGTGAGCCTCCCGAATGCCATTCACTGCCACTGGACTCACTGTGACTAGATCCCCTTCTTCCACTTTTGCCAGATCCTGACTGTGGGGATTGCCCATGGCCTGCCTGCCCATGTTTCTTGGTGTCTCCTGACTGTCCATGAGTAGTTCCCTGACTCCCTTGACTAGAGGATCCCCACTGTCCATGTTGAGATCCAGCCTGGCCATGACTGGACCCTGAGTGTCTCTGTGAGCCTCCCGAATGCCATTCACTGCCACTGGACTCACTGTGACTAGATCCCCTTCTTCCACTTTTGCCAGATCCTGACTGTGGGGATTGCCCATGGCCTGCCTGCCCATGTTTCTTGGTGTCTCCTGACTGTCCATGAGTAGTTCCCTGACTCCCTTGACTAGAGGATCCCCACTGTCCATGTTGAGATCCAGCCTGGCCATGACTGGACCCTGAGTGTCTCTGTGAGCCTCCCGAATGCCATTCACTGCCACTGGACTCACTGTGACTAGATCCCCTTCTTCCACTTTTGCCAGATCCTGACTGTGGGGATTGCCCATGGCCTGCCTGCCCATGTTTCTTGGTGTCTCCTGACTGTCCATGAGTAGTTCCCTGACTCCCTTGACTAGAGGATCCCCACTGTCCATGTTGAGATCCAGCCTGGCCATGACTGGACCCTGAGTGTCTCTGTGAGCCTCCCGAATGCCATTCACTGCCACTGGACTCACTGTGACTAGATCCCCTTCTTCCACTTTTGCCAGATCCTGACTGTGGGGATTGCCCATGGCCTGCCTGCCCATGTTTCTTGGTGTCTCCTGACTGTCCATGAGTAGTTCCCTGACTCCCTTGACTAGAGGATCCCCACTGTCCATGTTGAGATCCAGCCTGGCCATGACTGGACCCTGAGTGTCTCTGTGTGCCTCCTGAATACCATTCACTGCCACTGGACTCACTGTGACTAGATCCCCCTTTTCCAGATCTATGATGTGCTGAACTCGATTGGCTTGTGCTAGACCCATGCTGGCCAAAGCCTGAAGATTGACCTGAACTAGCTCTTTGCTTTCTAGAGCTAGACGACTGACCTGACCCAGCTCCATGTTTTCCAAAGCCAGAAGACTGACCTGAGCTAGACCCGTGTTGTCCAAAGCCAGACGACTGACCTGAGCCAGACCCGTGCTGGCCATGGCCAGAGGACTGACCTGAGCTAGACCCGTGTTGTCCAAAGCCAGAAGACTGACCTGAGCTGGACCCATGTTGTCCAAAGCCAGAGGATTGACTGGTGCCAGATCTATGTTGTCTGGAGCCAGAGGATTGGCGTGAGCTAGACCCACGTTGGCCAAAGCCAGAAGACTGACTTGTGCTAGACCCATGTTGGCCATGGCCAGAGGACTGACCTGAGCTGGATCCGTGTTGTCCAAAGCCTGACGACTGACCTGAGCTAGATCCATGTTGTCCAATTCCTGAAGACTGACCCGAGCCAGACCCATGTTTTCCAAAGCCTGAGGACTGGCCTGAGCTAGACCCGTGTTGTCCAATGCCTGAGGACTGACCTGAGCCAGATCCATGTTGTCCAGAGCTAGATGACTGACCTGAGCCAGATCCATGTTGGCCATACCCAGAGGACTGACCTGAGCCAGACCCATGTTGTCCAGAGCCAGAGGTTTGACTGGTGCCATATCTATGTTGTCCAGATCCAGAGGATTGGCGTGAGCTAGACCCACGTTGGCCAAAGCCAGAAGACTGACTTGTACTAGACCCATGTTGGCCATAACCGGAGGACTGACCTGAGCTGGATCCCTGTTGTCCAATTCCTGAGGACTGACCTGAGCCAGACCTATGTTGTCCAGAGCTAGATGACTGACCTGAGCCAGATCCATGTTGGCCATGGCCAGAGGACTGACCTGAGCTAGACCCATGTTGTCCAATTCCTGAAGACTGACCTGAGCCAGACCCATGTTTTCCAAAGCCTGAGGACTGGCCTGAGCTAGACCCATGTTGTCCAAAGCCTGAGGACTGACCTGAGCCAGACCCATGTTGTCCAGAGCTAGATGACTGACCTGAGCCAGATCCATGTTGGCCATGGCCAGAGGACTGACCTGAGCTAGACCCATGTTGTCCAATCCCTGAAGACTGACCTGAGCCAGACCCATGTTTTCCAAAGCCTGAGGACTGACCTGAGCCAGACCCATGTTGTCCAGAGCTAGATGACTGACCTGAGCCAGATCCATGTTGGCCACGGCCAGAGGACTGACCTGAGCTGGATCCGTGTTGTCCAAAGCCTGACGACTGACCTGAGCTAGACCCATGTTGCCCAATTCCTGAGGACTGACCTGAGCCAGATCCGTGTTTTCCAAAGCCTGAGGACTGGCCTGAGCTAGACCCATGTTGTCCAAAACCTGAGGATTTACTTGAGCCAGACCCATGTTGTCCAGAGCTAGATGACTGACCTGAGCCAGATCCATGTTGGCCATGGCCAGAGGACTGACCTGAGCTAGACCCATGTTGCCCAATTCCTGAAGACTGACCTGAGCCAGATCCGTGTTTTCCAAAGCCTGAGGACTGGCCTGAGCTAGACCCATGTTGTCCAAAGCCTGAGGATTTACTTGAGCCAGACCCATGTTGTCCAGAGCTAGATGACTGACCTGAGCCAGATCCATGTTGGCCATGGCCAGAGGACTGACCTGAGCTAGACCCATGTTGTCCAATTCCTGAAGACTGACCTGAGCCAGACCCATGTTTTCCAAAGCCTGAGGACTGGCCTGAGCTAGACCCATGTTGTCCAAAGCCTGAGGATTTACTTGAGCCAGACCCATGTTGTCCAGAGCTAGATGACTGACCTGAGCCAGATCCATGTTGGCCATGGCCAGAGGACTGACCTGAGCTAGACCCATGTTGTCCAATTCCTGAGGACTGACCTGAGCCAGACCCGTGTTTTCCAAAGCCTGAGGACTGGCCTGAGCTAGACCCATGTTGTCCAAAGCCTGAGGATTTACTTGAGCCAGACCCATGTTGTCCAGAGCTAGATGACTGACCTGAGCCAGATCCATGTTGGCCATGGCCAGAGGACTGACCTGAGCTAGACCCATGTTGTCCAATTCCTGAAGACTGACCTGAGCCAGACCCGTGTTTTCCAAAGCCTGAGGACTGGCCTGAGCTAGACCCATGTTGTCCAAAGCCTGAGGATTTACTTGAGCCAGACCCATGTTGTCCAGAGCTAGATGACTGACCTGAGCCAGATCCATGTTGGCCATGGCCAGAGGACTGACCTGAGCTAGACCCATGTTGCCCAATTCCTGAAGACTGACCTGAGCCAGATCCGTGTTTTCCAAAGCCTGAGGACTGGCCTGAGCTAGACCCATGTTGTCCAAAGCCTGAGGATTTAGTTGAGCCAGACCCATGTTGTCCAGAGCTAGATGACTGACCTGAGCCAGATCCATGTTGGCCATGGCCAGAGGACTGACCTGAGCTAGACCCATGTTGTCCAATTCCTGAAGACTGACCTGAGCCAGATCCGTGTTTTCCAAAGCCTGAGGACTGGCCTGAGCTAGACCCATGTTGTCCAAAGCCTGAGGATTTAGTTGAGCCAGACCCATGTTGTCCAGAGCTAGATGACTGACCTGAGCCAGATCCATGTTGGCCATGGCCAGAGGACTGACCTGAGCTAGACCCATGTTGTCCAATTCCTGAAGACTGACCTGAGCCAGACCCATGTTTTCCAAAGCCTGAGGACTGGCCTGAGCTAGACCCATGTTGTCCAAAGCCTGAGGACTGACCTGAACCAGACCCATGTTGTCCAGAACTAGATGACTGACCTGAGCTAGACCCATGTTGGCCATAACCAGAAGACTGACCTGAGCTGGATCCGTGTTGTCCAAAGCCTGAGGTTTTACTTGAGCCAGACCCATGTTTTCCAGAGCTAGATGACTGACCTGAGCCAGATCCATGTTGGCCATGGCCAGAGGACTGACCTGAGCTAGACCCATGTTGTCCAATTCCTGAAGACTGACCTGAGCCAGACCCATGTTTTCCAAAGCCTGAGGACTGGCCTGAGCCAGATCTGTGTTGTCCATGGCCAGAAGACTGACCTGAGCCAGATCCATGTTGTCCGAAGCTTGAGGACTGACCTGAGCCAGATCCTTGTTGTCCAAAGCCTGAGGACTGACCTGAGCCAGATTCATGTTGTCCAATGCCTGAGGACTGACCTGAGCCAGATCCGTGTTGTCCAAATCCTGAGGACTGACCTGAGCCACATCCTTGTTGGCCATGGCCAGAGGACTGACTTGAACCAGACCCATATTGTCCACAGCAAGAAGACTGTCTTGACCTTGTTCCCTGTTGTCCACAGCAAGAAGAGTGTCTTGATCTTGTTCCCTGTTGTCCACAGCAAGAAGACTGTCTTGATCTTGTTCCCTGTTGTCCACCACAGTTCTGTGGTTGGCAACACTTCTGTGGTTGACAACCTGACCTGGATCTATGTCTTCTTCTATGACAAGAAGATTGGCTACAGGATCTAGGCCTACACTGAGCATATCCAGAGGACTGACCTCCTGAGATACATCTATGACCATGTCCTCCACTATTTCTTGATTGACAATGCGACTGAGTACATCTAGATTTATTTCCTTGACCTCCATATGTGCCTGCCTGACAGGAGCTAGAAGCATTCTGTGTTCCTCCACACCCACTTGAATTGCTGAAACCACATGCATAGCTTTGTCTTCCACTGCCTCCTAAACCTATAGAATTAGATGCAAGCGTTTGTCCTCCACTCTGTGACCAAGTAGAGTTTGATTCATGCCCACTAGCCTCTAATCCACTTAACAGACCACCATGACCTTTTCTTCCTCCACTCTTAGATCCAGATCCAGATTCAGATCCAGATTCATATTCCTCCCCAGATTCCCTAGAAGGGCTAACATGAGAATTGTTTCTTCTTTCCTCTAGCTCTCCAGAGCTGGACCCATGTCTTTCTTTGCCACTACTCCATGAGTGACCAGAGCCAGACTCATGGTGCCTTTTCTCAAATCCCTCTTGGCTCCCTGAGCTAAAGAAATCTTGCCTCCTCAGCTTCCTGGAATGGGATCCATGTCTATGTTTCGCAGTTCCCTTCGAACCCTCAGAATGATAACTGTGCTCTTCTTCCTCACTCCAACTTGGATTTCTGTGACCTGATTTCTGTCCTGATATATCCTCCTCATCTTCTTCTGTTTCACTTCCTTCTTTTTGGTGCTTGTCACCACTACGCTTCTTTGACCCTGAAGCTTTGCAATATTCTTTGCTGAGAACCTTGTTGCAGGCCATAGCCAGCTTGAATACCATCAGAAGAAACTCAGTAAAGTCCAGTCTTCGGTCATGATCTCGATCCAGCATATGCATGATGACTTCCACTGTGTCTGGATCATCTGGGTTCTGTATATGAGCAACACACCAAAGGAGTCTTGGTCAGCCTAACCCACATACTCAGCTAAAATATTCAGATAAGACTGTGGAATTGTAGATGTTTGCCATTAAGCATTTTTAATCCAATCAAGGATTACTTTAGGCTAAGGCAGCCTAAGGGGACCCAGCAAGTGTGAAGAAGTAGTAGAAAAGATAAAGACTATTGTGATCCTCAGAATGCAGCTCAAGGACCTAAGCTAGAGAACCAGGTACTCAAGTGTGGCATACAGAAAGGAGTTGAATAAACTAAGTTCAGTACCTGGTATGTTTTAGCTTTATATACATTTTAAACATCATATGTTCGTATATTCTATTTTGGGATCTATAATTTTGAAGTTAATAGCTAAGTTCTTTCCAAGTAGATGAGGAAAAAAATGCATGTATTTTGTTTCTGGTTTTTAATTATCCTGGCTATTTGGTCAACTCCCCCTATAGATGACTTACTTCCCTTTCTATAGTTTTTCTTCCTGACTTGATAGGGTAATTTATTAATTATGTCTTAGTACAAATGTTATTTTCTGCTTTTTCAGAATGGGAAGCCTGGGGGCATGAAGAAGTCTGAGGGTCCACATGGTGGGAATGCACAGGAAAATGAGGAAAAATCATTCACTTTTCTAAAAATAAACACTGCGACGACAGACTTTTTGATGTCCCCAAAAAGTACTGCTCATACAGTTTTCTCAAAGACCCCTGGAACTGTGCACTTTTTAGCTAACATTTGGTTATATAAGAGAGAATGTACAGGACCATAGGAGCCTTTGGTCCTAGCACATGGTCCTCACCTTCAGAATTGGCCGAAACTCTTTCTCCAGAAGTTCCTTTAGCTCATCCTTGCTCAGTGTGCCACATTCCCCATCTTGGTTGGTGTATTTGTAGAAAACATCAATGACGGTGACAACACTTCTCAAGAGTTCGGTCATCTTTTTACACGTTTAAGTGAACCTGAAGAGAAAAACAAAATGGAAGACTCTATCATTCACTTTCTTTCCTTTCATTTTATAAGCAGTTCCAATTTTGATAATTGTCATCATGATTTTTCAAATCTCTTGTCTCTTTAAAACCTAAAATACCTCAAAATGTAAAGATGGGTCAGGATGATACAAAACCTTTCAGCACAGTGAAAAGTGACTGTTAACATTGGTCATGGCATGTTACTGGCCGAACTGGGACTACATCTCAGGTCTCCATGTTCTGGTTGAATATATTCTTAATGTCTCTATGCTTTGTGCACTTTTGTGTCCTGGGTGTTGTCCTGGGGCTTCCAAAGTTTCCAGAACCACCTAGACATATTTCTCTAGTCTCTCTTGCTAGTTTCACTGATTTTCTAGAGTAAAAAGTGACAGACCTTCCGCCATGCATATCTCGGGTGCCCAAAGCTAAATTGGACCCTCAAGATCTTCAGAAAATGAAAAATGGGCAAAGTGGGCCAATTCTTCCTTGGTTTTCCAGAGGCCTGAGATAGCCCTCACGAGAGCTGAGGAGCTATCCTAATCTCAGCCCTTGACCTAACACTGTTCTTTTTCATTAACCAGGGAAAAAGGCTCAGAAATTCAGGCAGCCATTTGACTAGTAGACAATTTGATCTGGGAGCTCTGGAAGCTGACACTGAACAAGGAAGGGTCTTTCCAACAGTGCCAGCCTCCTCCCTGTTTGAGCTGGACAGCCCAGAAAAGATGGCATGCAGCAGACTAGGAAGACAGTGTGGGGTGGCCTGTCAGAAGACAAGCTTCTATCTGAATTATTCTTCACAATGACAAATTTATTCTAAAAGAGCCCCAGAGTAAATTAAACTAGCCAAACAAATAAGCAGAACTAAAATAAAAAAGAAACATAATATAAATGACAGTGAAGAGAACAGAATATAAATAGCTATACCAGTAAAAAAACAAAAACAAATATAGAAAGAAAGGCCAAATATATATTAACTCTGCCTTAGCTCTAACTCTTGGATTTCTGTTGTGGACAATGACCATCGAGATAGCTGGATAAATTTTCTCTCACCTGGTTCACCAAAGGAACAAGTAGGAAGAAAGCCTGATGAAGCTTGCAGGGTGACAATGATTGAGATAGTGGCCCTTATATAGCTAACATGTGGGTGCTGTCCTCTGTGGGATGGACTGATTCATTTCCAATCAAACCTAACTCCACCTCTGGACAGGTGTTTACCTTCCACTTTGCATTCTCATCTTTGAGATGATTGCAGAAAGGCTGGGACTGGCGCACCTTCCAGTATCAGGACATGTTACACTTTTTCCAAGGTCATGCACTTGTGAAAAGCAGATCCTGTGTTTTAGAGGACGCGTGTGGTTCATTCCCTTTATCTGGCACCCACAGAAAGTAGCAAACTGTAAGGTCCTTGGAAGGTATGCAATAAATGCTTATTTAATTGAAAATGAATGTAGGTGATCTGGCTGGGTGGCTCAGTTGGTTGGAGCGTCGTCCCGTACACCGGAAAGGTTGTGGGTTTGATTCCTGGTCAGGACACATACCTAGGTTTCGGGTTCCATCCCAGTCGGGGCGCATACGGGAGGCAACTGATCAATGTTTCTCTCTTACATCAATGTTTCTCTCTCTCTTCTTCTCTCTCTCTAAAAATCAATAAAAGCATATCCTTGTGTGAGGATTAAAAAAAAAAGAAAATGAAGGTAGACCATTAAGCTTACCCAACTCATGTCGTTTTGCAATCAGAATTGCCATTTATTGAGAATTTACTATGTGCAAGGTATTATGCTGAATATTTTTCACATATCTCATTTAATCTTCACCACATTTCTATGACATATATATTGTTTTCCCCCATTTTATAGATGAAAAAATAGGTTCAGAGAGCATAAGAGTCATCTCCAAGTTCACACAGTAGGTGGGCGAACCAGGGTTGGGACCTATATCCGCCTTATCATAATGCCCCTGCTCTTAACCATCTCTGTGTTTTGATTTCACATGCCTAATACACAAAAATTATGCTGTTTTAGGAGTATCAGTTCCATCCAAACACAAAAATTATGAAAGAATAACATAAAGAGTGCTGAAAGCCAGGAAGAGAAGAAACATATTCTCTGGCCCTTTGAAGGCTCTTTTTTAAACTATAAAAGTATAAGTTAATGGGCTAAACACAGAAGTAATGTTTTCAGATGTGTTCCGGGTGAATGCAGAATGGGCTTTCTTCTTGAGCTTTCTCCTATCCATTGGTGGTCTGGCAGCTTTGGGCCTGAACCCTTGGGAAAATGTCACTTATATACACAAAGTATATCAAATATAATACCCAAGCGAAGCAAACCCAGTCAGAAAGCTGTATTAGGCACGAAGATGCAGCTTTTCTGTACTTTGCCACCAGGTGATGACGATGATGATGACTGATGAAGATAGCAGTTATCATTAAGTAATTACTGTCTTCTAGACAAGAAGGTTTTACATGCTTATCTATTTATTCCTCACAATCACCCTGTTAAGTCAGTCTTATTTTCGTTCTCGTTTTATAAAGAAGGAAATGAAAGCATAGAGGAATTTAATAATTCATCCCAAATCACAGCTTGTAAGTGGCAGCACCAGGATAGAAACCCATGTGGTCTGATGTGAGAGCCCCCACTAACCATGTATATACCACATCTTTATATGGGTTGATCAGTTCCTATCTGGGCACTCCTTCATCTCACACCACCCTATATCTGGACAGTGCCTAGGACTTAGTAAGCACTTAGAGTGAGTGTTTCTTCACAAAATGGTAATGGGGTCACCACTGAGGTATATCCATTGCTCTCATAGCCAGGGAGTTCTAGACCAAAGTGATCACACAAAAAGTTATGTTGTCCCTTGGATATTACGGTCATTTTCAATTGTATGCATTTTTGGGAATTATGCCTGCTTTTGTTGCGATGACTGCTATGCCAGGAGGACTTTCAGACCCCCCAGTCTCCATGCTGAGGTTTTTAAAGCCACCCTTGCTTGCCTTGCAACTCCAGGATTCTAGCTCGGAACTTGGAAACCAGTTCCATAGTTTGACTGCTCGCAGAACTCTGCCAACCACTCTCTTGTATTCTTTGTGTTCATATTTCTCTTCCCCTTCTAACTGGATTAGCATAGTAGATTAAAGTATAAATTTAGGAGTTAGAAAGATTTGAGCTCCAATTTCAGCTGTCTTTTCTGGCTGTGCTCCTTGGGCAATTATCTAATCCTCTGAACATCAGTGTCCTAACTTTTATAATGGGACTCATAATACTTACCTCCCTGGTGATTACTTAATATGTGAAATTGCTTAGTACCAATCTGGCATAATAAATGCTTAGTAAGTTATATAATCATTATAAGCTCCTTTTAAAAAATATTTAGCATCTAATACAGTGTTTTACACATAGGTGCTCAATCATGTTTGATAAAAGTAAATTAGGATCCAATAAGAGGCCTTTAAAGGCAAAAATACCACTTCTTGTTAAAATCATTGCCCCAGAAGATAAGTCATGATTCTGTTTTGTTTTTTTTAAATAACACTTTTATTGAGACATAATTTACGTACCATAAAATTTAACCTTTTTAAAAAAAAATTATTGATTTTAGAGGGACAACGGGAGAGAGGGAGAGAAAAGCAGAGAGAGACATCCATGTGAGAGAGAAACATCATTCGGTTGCCTCTCATATGCACCCCGATGGGGATCAAATTTGCAACCGGGGTATGTGGGCTGACCAGGAATCAAACCCATGACCTTCCGCTGCATGGGACAGTGCTCCAGCTGAGCCATACTATCCAGGGGAAATCCAACCTTTTAAAGTATGCAGTTAATTTTATTTATTTTTTAAAATCCTCACCCAAGGATATTTTTTCCATTGCTTTTCAGAGAGAGTGGAAGGGAAAGAGAGAAACATCAGTGTGAGAGAGGCACATCGATTGGTTGCCTCCCACATGTTCCCTGACTGGGGCTGGGGATCGAGCCTGCAACCGAGGTACATGCCCTAGCCCGGAATCGAACCCGGGACCCTTCAGTCCATGGGCTAACGCTCTAACCACTGAGCAAAGCCGGCAGTTAGTGGTTTTTAATATATTCATAGAGCTGTGCAATTAAGTTATTGTTATGGTGTCTGTGTCCTTAATAAGTTTCCTTACTTCTCAGGGCTTCAGTTTTCCCCTTCGATAACTACAAGGTGTTATTAGTGCCAGGGTACAAGTGGACACACGCCAGATCATTTCAGCTGCAATTCTGTAGAACAGTTATGGTCCTATCAGAGGCCTACGCACCATTTGGAAGGAACCAAAGTCATGGTTTTTAAGGATCAACTAGATGACACCTGCAGAGATTTCTGCCTGTCTGGGTTCTGAAAGGTCGTTTGGTCCAATGAAGCAGAGGCCTGGAGTCCAGAGCTAGTCTCAGCTACACCATTTCTCTGGATGTGGGCCTCCTGCTCATCTCATGGTCCTCTGCTCATTTCAATCCATACTGCTCCGGGTTCTCAGGAACAACCAGGCTTTGATTTTAGGCCCGGTTGCTGAGGCTTGTGCATTGTTGGCTACTGGATTGTCTTGAGGGGGAAGCTATACCTTAGGATGTTAAAAATCACTTTAATTGAATGTGTGAAAGTCCCAGATGTGGCTTTTTCCACTGAATGTCAGCTGAATTTTGTTTTCATGTGACATCCTATTCAAGGGGGGCCTTCTTCAGCTTTAGGTCTGTGCCTATCAAGAGAACCAAACATTCTCTCTTTGCCGGGACCCCCTATATTGAGGTTTCTCAATGAACTCAACTTAGAACAGGCGCATGAGAGTTGATCCAGGGATGCTGGTACATATTAAGCGTCTCTTTTCTCTGAAAGCAGTTTAGGAAGCTGTTCTTGGCTCACAGCATGATGAAGTGGGAAGGATATTGACTTTGCCTGAAGACAGATAGTCTTTGTGTCACAGCTCCAGCATAACCACCTGTAACACCTGGGGCAA